CACGGGTATCGAGTCGGGACGCAGGCGTAGACGCTGCCCACGCTTGCTGTGCTAACCAATCAAGCCGTGCGGCTGCAGCGGCGTTGCGTGCGATGGTGGCCGGCGTATGTAGAATGGCGGTGGTCACTGCACTCCATCTGTTCTGTGCAACCGAGCCCTCATCGGACCTCAGTGCATGAGGCGCGTTGTGGGTGCCGGCACCAGTGCATCAGGCGCCCATGGACGCCAGATATAGCGCCTTGGCAACAAAACACCCACCAAAGTGTGCGTAAGAATCAAAGTAGTAGTCTGCAGAGGTTTTGTCATTCTGCGCAGCAGCATGGGCAGCGCGACATCGGCAGCGGCGGCAGCCGGCTTTGACGGTTCCGGCCCTGTCGAGCAGCGAGCATGCCTGAAGGCCTAGATCGCCTTTCGCGTTGCTTCTGCGCAGCCGTGCGCCACTCCGCGCCCAGTTCACGGGCGCGTTGCCCGCTCTCAGTGGATACCTGCTTTGCTGAGGTATCGGGGGCAGCGCTTGCTGTCCCGTTGGTGTCTACGTCCATTTTTAGGTGCTTTCGTGCCTCAGTACGCGGCCGAAAAGGTGGACGGGTACGATCTGGTGCGCGTCTAAGTTTAGAATGTCCTTGAAGCTGGAAGAAGTTCGTGTGATGTGAGCACTAGGTCAGTTGTGTTGGGTGTGAGCAAGCTGGAGGCCACAGGCTGCGCAACTATGTCACCCGACAGCGACACTTGGCTCATTGGCAAGGGCTGGTTGGCCACCTGGCCTTTTCAAGCGGCAAGGGCGAGGGGTGTACTGTTGTTGTTGAAGCACAGGCTGCCTTGAGAAGGATCCACCGTTTCAATTGAAAGAACTTTGCGGACCGCAACAACATGTAGACTCTTGCAGCTCCTTTTGCACGGTGCCCTTGTGTCGGTCCCCCCCCCCTGGTGGCGACGGTGTGCTGCGCACGCCCCTGTTTCAGCAGCAGCCAGGTCGGGAACTTCAAGCCCGTCCTTGCAGCCCAGTGATGCGGTAAGAGGCTGCTTACACGCATGAGGCGGATGGCCGTGATGCAGTGACACACGCAAGTACAGTATGCTGCTTACGCACCAGAGGGGTGCACCGATCAGAGATTAGAGGGTGTAAGTCTACACACGGGGAGTGGCGCGCGTGGGCAGCCGAGGAAGAGACAACCTATGGCGCACGTTGGCATCCACAAATAGATTGTTTATTGCATCTTGTTGCTCATGCGCACACGCGCAGCACGAGCAGCCAAGGGCAGAGAAATGCGCACACCTGCTGTTTATAGTGGTGTTCTGTATTCATGCTGTTGCCTGAGCACCCTCTGCACACCGCAAGGGCGATGGTGCAAAGGCGACGCAATTGTGTGCGCGGCGGCCCTGATGGGGCCGTAATTTTCAAATCGCCCGGGCTTATCATTCAACCCACTGCGGGCCAACTTGACTGGTGCATGTGCGAATCGCGTCACAGCGTGATGGGGCACGTCGCCACCAGCTTGGGCAGCTGAGTGTCGGCCTGCATCCTCCACCACGGGCTGACCTCCCACCTGCCGCTGACAAAGTCGCGCAGCTTCTCAACAGCGCTGGTGGCCTTGGCCGCGTAGGCTCCGCTGGTGCTGCTGCCGGCCCCGGCCTTGATGTCCTGGTCCAGGGCGGCGGCCAGGTTGCACAGCCAGTTGCCGTTGACCGCCTGGCTGGACGCCTGTGGGAGGGGTGAGCAGAGGGTTTGATCAGGTGCACGGTCACATGCCTTTGGCAGGCAACATAGCAGATTTCACGCAGCACTTGAGCAATCTGCAGCTGCAGCGACGCCTCGCTTGACACTTGGGCCCGCCCAGCACAGCTAGACGGCAAGGCATACTCTGCGTCACAACCAGTTGCCCTGCTTTCTCAACAGGCCATGCAAGCCTGCGCACCAGGTTGAAGGCCGCGAGCTTGGTGGCAAGGTCGGTGTTGAGCTGCGCCTCCATGGACTGCAGCACACCCAATGACGCGCTCAGCGCCTGCACCTTGGCACGCTGCACGTGCGTCAGGAACTGGACGCAGCGCTGCGCGAACTGGGGCATCATCGCGCACAGCCGCTGCTGGGATGCGGTGTCGTTGGCCATGGAGTCGAGCCACGACGCCTCGCCGCCGATGCGAGCCTTGAGGCCCGCCACGTACTGGGGCAGCATCACGCTCTCAACCAGGGGGACACGCAGCGCGGCAACAGCGGCGGTCACGTTTCCCTGCACCTCCGCGTCAGTCGTGGAGGCGTTGAATTCTGCATGGGCAACGCACGTGTGGGGGCAAAAGAGGGTTTTCATGTGTGTATGTGGGTGTGTATGTGTGTGCGTGCGTATTGAAAGGCATGCACGGGTCAGTACTTCTGCAGCTGCATGCAGCTGCTGCGCTGACTTTTGCGATGCACACGCCTCATGCTGAGAGGCTCGATCAATTCTGTTTGGAGGTCCCCTCTCATATCCACAACGCACTGGGGGCGTCAAAGGAGGGGATGATTGGCAGCTTGGGCATCAGCGTGGACAGCTTGATGAGCGCGGGGTTGTTTGTCTTGTTCTGGGGTGCATCGCCCTTGACGCCGCCAAGCTTGAACCTGCAAAAAGTGCGAGGTTGGTTCTTGGGCGTTTGAAAATGCATCCTTCCATAGGGCATCAGGGAGTGTAGGCGCATGACAGCACTATGTTTGCTTGCAGCCCTCCGACTGCGGCATCCACCCTCCCTGCGTCCCCGGTGGCCCACTGCTGCTCACATCTCCAGCAGTGTGGGTGCCAGGGAGGGAATCTTGACCAGGGGCACGCGGGGCGCGGTGAGCACCTGGTCCCAATCAAAGTTCTCAGGGGTCAGGTTGCCAGATGCGCAAACTGACACTGCGGGCGGGCGTGGGTAGTGAAGGCGGGCGGGGTTCATGGGAGCCGCGCGGCGCACGTCACAATGTGCGCTTCACATGCACCGGGCGCCACGTGCCGGTGTGTGACTGCAGTGCAATAGATTGTACAATTACGCTCACCTGCACTGCAGGCCACAAGGGCCAGCACCAGAGTGAGCCGCGGCTGCATGGTGGCGGACAAACGCCTCGGCTGGGCGGCTGAGAAACGCTGGCAGCAGACGCAAAGATTGCGTTGCCTGTTGAGCTGTGGTAGTCTGCAGGTATAGCAAGATGATGAAATACGATAATAATGACAATTTGTGTCGGTGTAGCGTTTGTAAACGGAGCGGAGGTGCGTTCATCGAAGGAGGTGCGCGGAGGCTCAAGCCGCTTTGGTTTCAGCGGCTGAAAGACTTCGGAATCTCACTCAATCGCAGCTACGTCCCTGAAATGTGATGTTTGATTCTTTAAGTCTGGGCGCTTGGTATCACAGCGCACAACTCAGACACACAAAGATGGGGCATCGTGCATACGACGCACGCACATGTTGGTGACATGTGAGCGAGGCCACACCCGCACGCGCATTCCTTGATCGCTTTGATTGTTGTGACCAGTTGATTTGAGACAGTATGCTGTTCCATGGTATGATTTACGCAGGGGGCTTGTCTCATCCCCACCAGATCGTACTGCACAGCAAAACTGTTGGCATACGGTACCGCCAAGTCACGACATGCAGGAAACCTTTGTAGACCACCACTTGGTGACACATAGCTTTGCCTCTGCAGATCACAGCACTTTGTAGGTGACATGTGGTGCGTGGAGTGCTTACACTAATCGCCCGTGCCAGCGCCCCTGCACTCGTCCATGCCATCCGCCCCGGCCTGCAGCTGCTCCAGCGTCGGCGCCGCCCCCGCGCGCGCCAGGGCCTGGAACAGCACCTTGCTCAGCGCGTCCGCGCGGCCCCGCCGCTGGTTGGCTGGGCCCTCGTACTTGAGGTCAGCCCCTGCAGGCCGGCCGCCCTCAAACGCGACCCCGCCCTCGCCCACGCTGAAGCGCAGCAGCCGCCCCGGCCTCAGCAGCTTGGCGCCCATGCGCGCCACAAAGTCTGGCGGCAGGCGGCCCAGCGCCACGGGCGGGTCGTCTGCTGTGGCCACTGTGGCGTCTGCGCGGTACCGCAGGACCACCTGCTGGCGCTGCGGCACCACGCCGTCCGCATCCGTGTCCTGGGGACGAGGGCACGCGGGCAGCAAGGCGGGAGGGGGCCCTGGTTTGCAATTGGGTGAGGCGGCGTCAACCGGAGATACAGGGTCGAATCCCGCACGCAGCCACAGGTTCCTGCGGCGGCAGCCTGCATCAACAATAGGGCAGCCCAGTATGGGTTCGTGCAGCATGACAAGCGACTTGACAGCCTTGAACCAACACACCCAAAGCCCCCCAACAGCCTAAAATCACAGCTTCCCCGCCTCACCAAGAGATACCGGCTGCAGCCCTCGTCCTTCCACAGCAGCGCCAGCGGCGTGGCCCCAGGTGTGTAGTGCCCCTCTCTGTGAAGCAGGTAGCATCCGTCCTGCACAAACCCCAGCGCTCCCCCACTGCACGCGCCGCGCACGGCGCTCTCAAGACCCTCGGGCGTCGCCGGCAATGCAGGCAATGGCCGTAGCTCAGGGCCCTGCCCCGCGATGTGGCTGCCGCCGCTGCTGATGCACTCCGGCAGCTTGCCCGCCAGCCAGAAGCTCCTGCACTCTGCGCTGCAGCCTGCTAGTGGCACACTGCGCCAGGCAAGGACGTCTGACAGGAACAGGACAGAGCCCTGCGGCAGGCTGGAGCCCTGGGCCCCCTGCTGCTGCTGCTGCTGCTGCTGCTGCTGCTGCTGCTGCTGCTGCTGCTGCTGCTGCTGCTGCTGCTGGTGATGGTGCTGGTGCTGCTGCTGCTGCTGCTGCTGCTGCTCTGCCTTGTCCTGCACACCCTGCTGCGGCTCTTCCACCAAGACAGCATCTACGACGCTGAACTCGCCGCCTGTCGCGTTGCCGCGTGCGCCACCAGGCAGCGGGCTCTGGAAGCGCCCCAGCAGCGCGCCCGTGCGGGAGCGCACCGCCGTGGAGCCGTGCGCCGCGACAACCAGCACGCGCCGGCCCTCAGGGCGCGGCATCACCAGCCTGCAAAATAAGGCATTGCATTGGCATGGCCTCAAGCCGTTCTAGGCAAGCCGGACTTGCCAAATACTCTGAAGAGGAGACCACCCGGTGTGTGAGCGAGCAAGCCCATCCTCCCTCCGCTGCAGCACCAGCCCACCCGCCCACTGGCATGCAGCTGCCCCACCTCGCCTCCGACCTGGCACCCTCCGACAAGCAATCTCACCAGCCCGTTGCGAGGTCTGGAGGGACGTCTGTCAGCCACTCTGGCAGCATCAGCTGCCGCGCGTAGTGACTTCGCAGCTCTGCACCCCCAAGCCCCTCGGCACCTCCAGGCCCCAGGCCCCAGCCGTGCTCGGCGCCGGCATCGTCTGACAAGGGGGTGGCGTCCGCGGCCGGTGCATCCACCGCCATACTGGAAGTGAGGGTACCACCAGCTGCGTCGATTTCTGATGACGCCCCTGAATGTGCCTCCTGCATGCGTTACATTGCGAAAGAAGGGGGTGGGGAGGGGGCTTGGGGTATGATGGATGCGTCGTTGGCAACGCGCCAGCCACCTCCTGGCCGGCTCAACCCGCCCCATGACGCCCTCACCATCCTCTCCACCGCCAGCATGCGCGCCAGCTGCAGCTTGCTGTCTCGTGCACCGCGCTGCTGCTCTAGTGCGTCCGCACGCCGCCGCTGCTGGTACTGCGCATATGCCGGCGCCGCCTTGAGGCTGGTCCTTTTGGCCGTCGACATCGTAGCGAAGTGTTTCGTGCAACGTCACCGCGTGGCCCCTCTGTTGTAGCCGGGAGTGGCGCCACGCAGATCAACGCGCTCCCTTGTGCAGCACGGGTACATATGGGTTACGCTTTCTTGAAAGTGTCACGATTTTCAACCATATTCCGCATACTGAAAACTCATGTCGTTATGGGCAAAGCCACCGCCGCCGTTGATAGGCGACACTGTCGTCCCGTAGCGGCCAGCGCATCCGTCCGGGGCCCTGCTTGTGCCTCACTGCACCGCGTACGCAAGTACAAGGCATCAGAAACACCCAAACTGGCGCATCCCATAAAGCTTCGCGACTGCACAACTGGCATTCATGATCCCGGGTGTGCACATTGCAGCTCCATCCCATCCCACAGCTGCTTCGGCCAAGTCTGCATGAACCTTCAACTGTTGATCGACTCGCAAACTAATTGTTGGTTCCTCTAAGCGAGCTTGAAGCTCTTGCGAGTGATACCAGGGTCTCGTGATTCACCAGGGTGCATAAATGAATTTCTAACCAGCTCGAGCTGCATCCTGCGCAGCAGCGCGCCCTGGACGAGCATTTGTCACATGTGCCCAACACCAGGCCCTGCCCCGGCCCACAGCATATGCTGATTGTGTCGGTCCCATATCATTCCTGTCACATGGTCGTGGTCGCTCCATGACGCGTCTGGCAAACCATTCTGGAGGTGCCGCCAACCCACCAACGCCTTGTTGACCTTCATCAGCGACGGAGGTTTGACCGCGCGTACAGGGGCCGCCATGCACACACTGGCGCACGAGACAGCTCATCTGTGCCCTATACAATTGCTCCTCCGATTGCTTGCTGTCCATGAAGTGAATCACCAGAGCGGTCAATAGGCGGATGACGCCTTCTCGGTTTGTGCCGTTGTGAAGCGGACGTTGCTTGCCCTGAAGGGGCCGTCTGCTCCTGAATTGCAAACAGGAAGCTTCTATGTAAGATCCAATGCTGTCACAAGGCCGTAGTATGCCCGCAACGAGTCGATTCGCTGATTTTCATGGTCATGACTAAATCGCGCGATCAAAGCGCAACGCAGCGAAACGTGTCGCATTGCCCGGAAGATCTCATGACAGTCTATTTCAAGAGGGTTTCACTTGCGCGCACCTTCATCATACGCCGAGCAAGACGACCTTCCGCCCTACGCTAGTTCGGCATCAGCGGCCATTTGAACCCGCGACAAAGCGGAGTGAAAGCTAATATGGGCGCTTGCGTATCCACCCCAGAGAGGGGCGCGGTGCACCCGTGCCCTCCCTGCGAGATGAAATCGGACTTCCAGCACTGGCCTACCAACCAGGAAGCTTGCGATGTTGTGACAGTAGATACGGAGAGCGAACTTCATATGGTTCCCGCAAGCCCAGGCTGGGTGGCGTTCGATTTCGGCGAGGTGCGCCCAGTGGGCGCGCGTTTTGGCTTGGCCGCGACTCAGCATGGGCCGCAAGCTGGAGCGAAAGGCACGGTCCTGCGGCGGCGCCCATCGATGCGCCGCACCGCTGTTGTGCGCGTGATTTTGTTGGCAGCGTCATCGCCTTTCGCGCTGCTACACTTAGCGCACGATTGCGTCCACTGACGAGCCCCCCTGCTGATCCTGCCGCGCCCTCCACGCTGCCGCGCGCAGCAGTACCAGCCGCCCCAACAGTGGTGCCGCCCCGCCATGCGGCGGAGCATGCAGTCCAGCAGGCACGAGGCCTTCGCCCTGCACGGCAGCAGCGTGTCTGACAGCAGCCGCCCGACAACCGGGGCGCAGCAGACTAACACCCCCAGCAGCTGCCCCCCAAGCACCAGCGGGTCGCGCATGCCCCACAGGGCCTCCTTTGGAAGCAAGAGTCAGGTGCGGCGTCGCGACACGCGAACCGCCGGGTGGCTCGGACACCTGAGTTTGACCGCTCATATGATACCGGTCTGCACACCCTGGGGACCCCGCCCCTGCTGTGGCCCTCAACCCTGCCCCTGTCCCCTGCCTCCGCGCCCCGGCCCCCCTCGCAGTCTCGCTGCGGCGCCTGGATGGCCGCCCAGCCTGTGTGGTCCACGGCGCCCTGCCAGGAGGAGATTGCGGTGGAGGCGCCCCTGGGCCGCGGCGGCTACGGCGCCGTGTACCGCGGCTACTGGCGCCACAAGACCCCGGCCGCCATCAAGGTCATGCACACCCACAACAACGAGCAGGAGGTGCGGGCCGCCGGATGGCGTGTCTGCGCGCCGGATTCCACAACACACTAGTCATGCTGGCGCTCGCGCGCGCCCGCTCTGCGCCTGTGGACTGCTGCACAGGCACGCCTGGCCCCTTCTCTCATTCACCCCCCGCGCCGCCCTCCACACCACGCCTCACCTGGCAGGCCGTCGCCCACGCTTTTGAGATGGCGGTGCTGTCCAGCGTGCAGCACCCCAACATCGTCCAGGCCTACAGCTGCCTCACAGACATGATCGACGTCGACGCACGTGAGCGCTCCGGGGCGACATCACACTGGGACACTCAGCCCGATCCGTACAGCGGTGGTGATGGATTGCTGGCTGCATTAGAAGCAAGGGGGAGCCTGTCGCGCTGACTGCTTAGCCCGCCTGCCGGCCTCCCCGGTGCTCCCATCGTCCCCTCTCCGCGCTGGGCCCTCCTCGAAACAGTGGACGACGCGTCCGAGGCCGTTGACGGCTCCTCGGCCTGCGGCGCAGAGAGCGACGACGACGCCAGCAGCGTCGCCAGCATCTGGTCGACCACCCGCGCCGCCGCCCCCGCGCCCGCCGCCGGCCGCTTCCGGCGGCTGGCCCCCGGCGAGCGCGTCCCGGCGTCGTGCCTGGTGAACATCCTGGTGATGGAGCTGTGTGACAGGGGCAGCCTGAGGGACGCGCTGGACCGCGGCGCGCTGCGCTGCGGGGGGCCCGCGGCGCCGGTGGACCCCGCGGCCGCGGGGCAGGTGCTGCTGGACGTGGCGTCGGCCCTCAAGTACCTCCACTGCATGCGCCTCGTGCACGGCGACATCAGGGTGCGGCGCGCAGGGGCGCGCGTGTATGTGTGTGTGTGTGTGGGGGGGGGTGAGCGCAGATGGCCGCGCGCGCCCCTGAAGCTTGAGGGACTTGTGCAGCCGTGCTGGTTCTCGCGCCCTGCCGGCCAATGCTGCGCGTCAAGCACACCTGTTCTCCAACCCTGCCAGCACGCTGGCATGACCACGCCGCGGCGAATCCTGAC